GTCCCGCAGGAAGGGCAGTGAGTGTGAGAGCGGCAGTGGGACCGGTAAGCCGGATGACAAACAAGGTGTCGCAAGGTACCCGGCTGAGCCGGCGACTTTGCGCGCCCATGCCAGATCATCTCGGATACATGGAGCTCGGTACGGATAGCAGGGAGTTATTCAGGTCACAGCCGGCGGGTTTCGCCAACTGCGTACTGGCCTCCGCTCTACCCAAGACTAAGTCGTTGTCACGGCCGAGCTTATGTCCCGAACGCGGCGTTCACTACGTGACTGGGTACAAAACGTCCAAACTGAATGATACATGTGCGCAGTAACGCACCTTTCATTTTCAACACCTGGTGAAGGTGATTCAGAATGGCCTTGTGGTCCTGAGCCGGCTCATACTACGTGACACGTCAGTTTGTTCACACTGCAATGTCAATCACGGGCTATCGCTGGCAGAGTCCTGAACTGAGCTTGATGTCATTAGCAGCCATTTGGCAGAGGCAAACAGCAGCGTTAGCGCCTCCCATAACACATCGAGTGTGGGCTGCCAGCCAGCCTAACGCAGGCCAGTCCGAGAGGCTGCAGCTGTCACACAGCAGAGGACACGCACACAACAGGGCCGCGCTGAGGCTTACTAATAGGTGTGTCGGCTGTGGAATTACCCGGCTGGTGGAGGGGTGAAAAGTGAAGCTCCACGGGAACCCCGGGTGTCCGTGAGGCTTCACACTTCCGGAACCCACGTGGTAGCTGATTACGAGGGAATCGAAAAGTGAATGATGAAGTAATGGAACCCATAGAAAGATCCGCCATGTCCAAATGGTGAGGGTTAAATGGCTGGGGTTGAGGGTGCATTACACACTGCACAGCAAAATTACCAGGGCAGAGGCGGTGTCCAGACGGGGACGGAGGCGGTCGGCGCCAGCCGGTGACCTGGGACAGTCCCCGGGCGTCGCCACCAGTCGGTCAGCATCGCTGCCGCACAGTTCAGACGCTCGTCACACGTACTGACACACACGCAGTCAGCGGCACATCTCCGTGGTCACTGATCGACGCGGCCGACCGCGGCGGTCAGCCAACGGACCGCCCCGCCCTCCAAGCCTCTCAGCTGACCTCACACACCGGCTGACAGCTCAGGGCCACTGCCGGTGTCACACATACGCACACGCGCAGTCGGGGCCTGCACTTTGGTCCCCTGACAGCCTTTGTCGTATGGCGGGTCACACCCACACAGCAGTCACACTGCATTGGGTCTTTATCGTAGTTTCTATGGCCTTGCTTTTATCCCTCACAAAGGAACCTGTAGTGATTACCAGTCACCCTCTATTTAGGGGAATGTCTTTGCAGCTGTGAAAGGCGTGAGTTCACACAGGGTGCTTGGCTGCGCCAGCTTATCGGGCTATCGCTGTGTCAGCGTTGGATCCAGTGTGATATCATGTAGGATCCAGCTCAGCTAAATCAGGTGTAGCTGATTTCTCGGTCCTTAGACCGCCCCCGTGCCAGCGCCGGCCCCAGCTCAGCACCGCCGTATCGGCGCCTGATGCAGCTAAATCATACAGACGTAAAAACGCCGGATTCAGCTCAGCCATCGCTCTGTCAGTGTCGCGGCCACTGGCTTTCGGTAATCCGTGCGTCATTTCGTATGATGCCCGCCGTGCGTCCGTCGGCGACGTTCCTCCACGCCTCCGTCATTACCTGTCTGCCCTATCGGGCTCAGTATCCGCTGACGCAGCGTTCCAGCCGGACGGCGTGACTACCGGCTGCTCCCAGCCGCAGTCCGGCCAGCCACTGGCCTCACGACGGACCGGCACCGGCGCTGGAACCTGCAGGCGCGGCTAGAACGTGCAGGCGAGGCTAGAACGTGCAGGCGCCGCTGGAGCTGGGCTCGGCCGTCCGCCGGCCGCCCCAAGAGCCGCCGGCCGCCCTACCCACCGTCTCTCGTGCACGGCGTGACGGGCTATTTAATTTAGTGCCGTGCCAGTCGGCGGGTGGCGCACGCTGGCCGGCCCCAATATACGCTGCTATCGCGGCCGGATCGGCGGCCGGCGCCGTTAGTATTCCGAGATAGTGTCACTGTGATACCGGGCGACACAGGGAGCGCGGAGCGCTGGACGTAGCACTGGGGCGGCCGACCGAGCCGGGCGGCGGCCGAGGGGCGGTCGGGCCGATCACCTGCGACACTATATGGCGACTCTGCCACACCACACTGCCACAACAGAGAAGTGACGCTGCTTCGATAAATTGCAATGCAGACATGGCAAAGGGATGATTGTGCTGTCCTGCTTAGGAGTGACATGATCCTTCGCAATTAGTTCCATCGCAGATAGGGCCTTGGATGCAATTTTACGACATGCCTTTGCCCCGAATTGCCAGCTCCCACAGGTTTCTCAAACGGCACAAAGGTGAAGCCTCCCCCGGAGCTAGGAAAGCCCTGGTGTGAGCTCTGAGAAAATGTGAGCTCCGTCCCACCACACGGTTGGAGCGTACGGCGCTGTACCCAGCTCTCGTTCTCCGCTCCCAGCTACCGTTCACCGGGACGGGCCTCTGTCCACGACTCCACAGCTGCCGACCGCCCGTGGTGTGACTCCACTTGCAGGTGGCGCCTGGCGGACGAAATATGCAGCTGCAGCTGCCGGTCACCGGCGTGTCACAGACACCGTCCGCAACTGTCGGACACTACAGCTGCTCCGGCCACCGGTTGTTAGACGGCCGGTCGTCGCTTGGCGACTGGAAGTGGGGAGGCTCCGTCCTGCCGCCTTGCAATGACTTTGTATAATGTATATATTTGGGTTATTGGTAACCTCTCACGGAATGACTGTTCATGGCAATTCAAAATATTTTCATCTTTATACTTCCTACCCAGCTACTAGCTAGCATTATTTTTATTCGAATACATGACGACAGCGATTTGAATGCATAACAGCCACACGCTGTTGTGTGCGTTTTGGCAGATGGCCAAGTGCCAGGTCACGTGACCTGGCCTGACCTTGACCGCTGCGTGGAGTCAGACTCCTGGCGGCTGGGCGGCGTGGTCCGTGTCTGTGGTGCTGCTGACTGACGGTGGCAGGGGGCTGCTGCCTCTGAGGAGACACGTGTGGTGAGTAAGATTCACGGTACGGTCCGCTGGAAGCTGTGAGACTGCTTAGTGTCCCGAGTGAGTGCTAGTCACCGCCGCGCTACTTGTACTGGTGTCTGAAGTGGTCCACCCCGCGGGGCGGCGGGGCGGATGCGCCGTCCCCGCCCGTCCCTCCCGTCCGTCAGTCCTTATCTCTGTCTCTGTCGGTCCCTCCTCTTTTTGTGTCTTCCTTAGACTGTCTCGGACAGTCCATTCTCTATATCCTGGGCGCCGGAAATGCGTGCCGGACAGATATCTGGCGGCGACGGAAGTGAGAAGCGGCGTCCACTATCTATCAGCTCGTCCAGGGTGAGCTGTGCCGGACAGCCTTGGCCCGGCGCGCTGCGCATCCGACGCTGCTTGACAAAGACAGCCCAGACAAAGACCGTCTCAGGCGGTCCACCACTCTTTGTTTTGTGCATGCCAGTCCAAACGGTGTTGACTGGCCGCATGCCGTCTTCTTTACCTTGTTATCAGGGCTATGCTTATAAAACCTTGATTTATGCGTGCGTGTGTCCTATAACGCGGTTGCATAGGTCTCTCGTGCAGTCTAATGCATAGCTCACTGGATGGACGACAAAGCTGCACCGTAAGAAATACGATTTGACGGTAAAAACGAGCTGCTCCTTTTTGGTCGTGGGAACTCACGTACCTATTTCCCATTCGCGTCAATCACTCCTGATCCGTGACAAAGTGTTGTTTTCCTTACATTCCTTCGTCGTCTCCGATTGCTGATTGGTCGCCTTATCTCTGATATAATCTGCAGTGCAGCCAGCCAGAGCAGCCACTGTTGCATACCCATACGGCTGGGCCTGGGAGCGGGGAGGGGGCGCTCGCGGCGCTGAAGGAGCGGCGGTCAGGCAGAGGCTCGGTCAACATTTGCTCAGCACTAGCCGGCAGAGGCGGGTGTAATGGTGACTGGGTCTGCTCAGTTGATCGATCTCGACCTCAGCAGTCCGTGCTCGCCCCTCCCGCCAGTCCGGCGCGGCCCACGATCCGCCGGTCACGGCACGGCGCTGGCGCTGCTGACGGTGCTGGCTCGGGGAACGATTAGCGCCCGCGGCCGGACTGTTGTCATGCCGTCGGACCGCGCCGCGCCGGCCGACCGTGAAGTCGCCGGGAGTGCGGCGCTGTGCACTGTGCAGGCTGGGAGAGCAGGCGGAGCAGACAGACCCGCTGCCCCTACCGCACGGTCAGTGGTCAGAGGGCGGTGCAGGGCGACTCCTCACGGGCTACATCGATTGAGGAGGCTAATGGTAGGACGGGGGTGAGGGGGGGGGGGGGCACGACGACCGGTCCGTCTCTCTGCAAATAATGTCCGACCGGTCCCTCAGCTCCTCACCTTCGAGTCCCGTTCACACCGCGGCGTGACGCAGGCCGCGCGGCGACCGTTTTCCGTATTCGTGACTCATGACCGGCTTATGTCCAGTTCTCGAGGGTCCAGCGAGTGGAAGGTAAACACTAGCCCGTCAATACACGTGCTAGCTATCAGCCAACACTATGTGCTCGTATTTGGTCCCCAGTGAATCGATGCTGATGCTCTCGAGACGGAACCTTCCTATCTCGAGGTTTGGGCCGATCCTTTCGTTTGTTTTGCTTATCGACGCTCACATTCCACGCTCGCTGGAGTCTCTCTCGCGCGAGTGTTGGTTATCAGGGTGTTGACAAAGGAGTTGGTGAGTGAGACGAGACACTTATCAATGTAATCGGGCATGGGACCACCCGAACCATGTGGTCAAGCTAGCCCTTTCGGTCGGGGTGGAATTATGGATCCCTCCGGTCAGCGTCGGGTAGGAGGGGGGGGGGGGGGGTCAGGGGGGACATCGCGGCTCTGGCATCTTGGCGCCGTGATCCAGCTCCGCCGCCCGGCGGAAGGAGACCCGCGCCGGCCCGCGTAACTCACCTCTCCTCCTCTGCCAGCCGTATCTTGTTGAGCAGGTCCTCGATGGGCCGGGCGGCCGGCGGCGCCTCGGACGCGGCACCCTCCTCCGAAGAGGGGCTCTCCGCCGGCGGCTGGTCGCCCCGCTCGGCCATGCCGCCCGCCGGCACCGGGCCCGCTCAGCTCGCACCGAGCCGCACTCGTCCGTCCGCGCGCCGGCCGCGTCAATACTGCGGCGCGCCGGCCGCCGCCGAGCGCCGCCGAGCCGCTGCCATCAGCTGACGGTGTGCCAGGGGCGGCGTCAGCGGCCGACCTGGAGCGGGCCCGGCGCCGACCGCCGCTGGACAGACAGCTCAGATGGACACACGGGCCGCGCTCCAGCGCCGACCGTAGACGGGACGGCGCCACGTGAGAAATGTGGACGGGAAGTCGCGGCTCCACTCTCGCTACGCTTACCGGCTGCTTTGTACCGTACCTCAGGCTGAATACCGAGCACAGAGCAGGTCATGGTCCCACCGGCCCTCCCTTCTTGTCAGCTTCCCTTGGGTGAGCGTAAACAAATAGTGTGCTGGGAGGCGGTGGCCGCCCAGGCCTAGTTCGGGTTGCTACCAGCAGGTGTCTGGTGCCAGAGGTGTGAATTCGCTGTTCGTCGCTGCAGTCAGCATCGCGATCGCTCAAACCGTTTTCCGGGCCGGCCTTACGCCTTACCCTTCCACTGACGATTACGAGAGAAGCACGGGTCGTCTAATGGGATTAATCTGCATCCCACCGCCACTTATCTTCTAAGCCGGCTGGACCGTCGGTATCTTCTCCATACCCATCCTATACCTGCCTACTAGCATCAGAACCATACCATGACCACCAGTTCCACGCTACCATCTCCACTTCTCCAGTGTCCGGGCAGACCGCCAGCCATTCGCAGCAGGGCGGCAAAAAAAGGATCCATCCATCAAAGATGTCAATGGACGGTATAATGATGACTACCCGTCCATCTTCTTTCCATTCCATCTTGTCCATCTTGACTTTTTTGCTGATCAAATGCCATTCAGGCTGTTATTGATGACAAAGTTGTTCTGAAGCCAGTCGGCCATTCATGACGTTGTAGCTCCGTGACCTGTGTAAGTGGAAGTGACCGTTGCGATATGTCTCGTGTCCATCAAATGAAAAGACATCCCTAAATGTGCGTCACGTGCCGAGGAAAAAATAGGGCTCCATATCTCGAGTCATATCTCTAATATCATTTTGTCTTTGATTTGTAATAACCTTGTACATCGAGTCCCATTTTCTTTCCTAAAGCACGTGACTTATGTCATTTATGTTATCCTAATCTGGCACAATAGTGACGGCAAAGAGTACCTACTTCGAAGGATTCTGAATATTTCAGCTGGCACTGGCAAACGGTACGGTATCAAAAGCCTCATGGGAGCCGGGAGGTCATGTCACCCTCCCACTGCACCAGCAATGGTTAAACTTGAGCGTCTCTCAGCCTTACTTTGCCACAATAGCTTAGCTGAATGCTAGACGGTAGATCGGAAAAGCTAAGAGCACGAGGGTTCATATGGGATAAAATAGGACTGTTGTTTATCTAGAACATATCCCATGGACTTGAACTTTAGCACATACTCTAAACGTCGCGTTCTGTCTTCCAGGTCTGAGGTCACGGATCGCTCTGTGCGTTGCTGACCTGACCTGACCTGCCAAACCACCAAGCTCAGGAAGTGCCCGACTGCCACAATGGCCGACCCGGCCCAGAGCAGTACCGACGGAGCGGCGCAGTACTCCCTGGATCACTCCAAACTGATCGACGACTCGGCTCTGGGTGAGTGGACCGCTCGAAATTCGAAAAGTCGCCCGTTTATACCGTTTTAAACCGTACGATGAAAAGGTTACCCGTGTGTGTGTATCTGTACCTGTGACTGTGTGACTGTAACCCCTGTGTTTGTGTTACCGTGACATTTGTGTCAGTGTGATTGCGACCCCTGCGTTTGTGTGGTTGACCGCCGTGTTGGTGTAACTGTGAACGCTGTGTCTGTGTGTCTGTACCCATGTCTGTGTGTTACTGTGACCTGTCTGTATGTGTGACTGGCCACTGTGACAGACACAGTGACCGTGATCTCTGTATCGCTCTCCCAGATGTGCTTCTACTGGAGTGGGGTCAGACGCTGCGCCAGCCGGCCGCGCTGCCTGCCGATGACCTGCTGGCCCATTACGGGGTGTTTGGCGCCCCGGAGACCGGCCACCTGCTGCTGTACTTTACTCGGCGGCTCGGGCAGCCCCCTTCCGTCTTCTTCCGCGCGCTGCAGCTCTTCGAGCGGTGAGTGGGCCGTCCATTCGGCCAGTGGGCAGATCAGCACATTCAGTTGGTTCAGTCGGTTCAGTCAGACCAGTCAGTTCGACCACCTCGGCAAGTTCAATCAGTTCATAGTAAAATGGTACGAAATTTAGTTATGTATGACGATTTATGGATAAATCCTGGCCTGTAATGATAATGATGATCCCTTGTTCTGCTTTGAGACTGAGCACATAACGCGCCGGTTCAATTGTCGCGTCGAACTTTCGTGGAAGTTACAGCGGTGATATAAACGGGAAAATGTAAAGATAACTTTTGGTTGAATATGTAGTTCAGAAGTCGCTCTTACGTCGTTTCAGCTGCGGATGTGGTCGACCTGACTTTTTATCTTTAGTGATAATAATTTGTAAGTAAGATTTCGTTTGCATTCAGTCTGAATAGGCGGTATATAACGGTCGGCTGTGTGCTTGTGTGTTCCCCAGGTTTATGGAGACACATATGGCGGAGATGCACCAGTACATCGTAACCAAGGTGGAACGGGACAGCCGGCAAAAAGAGTGGAAGAACTTGCTGGAACGCATACGAAGCCAGGCCATTCTGAGGATGCTTTCATGCATACAAATCTCGTCTAAGCTGGCTCTTCATTACAAGGTACGGATATTGATGTACCGATGCAATCACAGGGTCATTGGAACGCTGGTTGACGGGAACGTTAATAATGTAAACTGGTATCATATGATGCAACGTCAATGTGAAATTAAAAGACCGGGCCTTTTTCTTTAATTCAATAACGTCGTATAGCGAAACTGAAGTTTACAGTTGGAACTCTAACCGTGGCTTAGGTGTTTTTCTCAATGGGCTTTAATTCCCGCTATGGTCCCTTATTTGATCATGGCCCGCCATTTATGTCATATGTCTGCGTCTGTGGCCGGTTACAGATCCTTACCACGAAGAGAGTCAAGAGCCTTCTGCGAGAGGTGAAGCACTGCTACAGCCTGGAGAGCGTGGTGAACTCCGAGGTCCGCATCCTCAAAACGCTGAAGTACAAGGTAAGTTCTCGTTGTCCCGACGAGATCCCCCGGTTGATTATGTTTAATCGCCGGGTTCCTTGCCAGCCAGTTCGCGGTTGACGGGTGGTATAAGAAAAACGGCGACTAATCTGGAGTGATAAAAATAGGCTCTTGGAACCATATGAAGCTTTGCATGCCTATACTTCCAAGCACCAAACATGAAGAACATTGGATGCTTTGAAACGGGAACAAAAGCGAAGCATGAAAAATAAATCGAACGCTAAATACTGCTGCCATGAAAGGAAAATCTCAACTAAATATGTCAATGAAATATTAAATTCGATAAGTGAATTTGATGTAATTGGCTTAACTTTATGCATCACAATGAAGGTTAAAACTACCGGTATGGACGCTGCTGCAGCCTTCCAAATGTGACGTTTAACGCCCAGTTGTTACGTCTGATGCGTCAATGGATGTTTTATATAAATGCTACAGTATACGATAAATGTTGTTGAGATTGAACTTGGACGGTACTATAAAATGTTCGCCCTTGACTTTATAACTAACTAGCATTTAGTAACACTAATATATAACTATACGCTGTAACTATACAATGTCTCTGTCTATACAAAAAATGCGTTGAATATATCTAATGCGATCATCTTGACCGTAATGATTGGCCAGTATATTTTGTTGACTATACATAAGTTGGCCGGATATATTTTTAAGAGACAGCTGCTGTTCACTGCTCCCGAGGTCACTATAACCGGGTACTGTCAATGCTGACCGGGTATGAGGTTATAGTGGACCCGGGGCCGACTACTGTTATGAAAAGCTCACGTTCAATTCAATTTGTTATGAGCCGTAACAAGGAACCGTTTTTTTTTGCGATTGCGGGAGCCTCGGTTGAGAGGCTGTTCTCGATACCTACTGGCACACATTTCGACAGTTTTACCTTTATCTTTGGAGTGCGTACTCCAATATGCTACTGGTAAAAAAACAGTAAAACGCCTTTTGGGCGAAGAACGAGCGAGCGAGATGTGAGCCCTGCACGTGCGCAAGGGCGAGAGGGTACTTCCAACGGGCTTGTGCAAAGCACCATTCTAACCGGTCGCTAGCGGTGTGCCAAATTTGAACGCAATCGGCCCAGCCGTTCCTGAGATCTGGAAACGGCATTCTGCACGTGCGCACGTGCAAAAGGGGTCCAAACTGACTTTTGCACGGCACCCTACTAACTGGTCCCCAACCGTGTACCAAATTTGAGCGCAATCGGCCCAGCCGTTCTCGAGATCTGGAGCGCTCCCTGCTCGTGCGCACGTGCAGTAGCACCCTAACCGCAACACATGGGAATGCATTGCCTGGTGGGTGCCTACCTGTATGCCAAGTTTCAGCGAAATCGCCCCAGTAATTACCGAGTTATTGAAATGGGAACAAATTTGGCACCTCTTCTTTTTGCATTTTGCACGTGCAGTGGGGGTCCCTCACATAGATCAAGAATATCCGACCTTTGGTAGAAGGGATGCAGCTACCCTATAAAAATTACCGCAAGACAATCGCCCAAGCGGCTGCTGAGATATGGGCCTCTCAAAATCACTAGTTTTGCAAAACAGCTTGAACACCCTTGATTTTTCACGTGGCATGTGCCACGACGGTCACTAAGATGTATCAAAAGTAGTCAATTACGGGGTAGAAGGAATGGGGCTACCCAGCAAAAAAGACCGCAGGCCAATCGGTCCAGCGGTTGCTGAGATATAAGCCTCTCAAAAGCGTTACAGGCCGGGCCGGGCCGGGCCGGGCCGCTCATACTGAGATTTTTCCGTTATATTGAAAAGACTCACTTCGCCCGCTGCGCTCGCTCGCTCGTAATAAGCCATGGCATTGTCCGATTTTGCCGTTTTATATAAAAAAATGAGATCAGACGATTCCACTAGAACGGAAACGCTGTAGTGGGAGATGAAGAAAGAGAAGAGATGGATGCCGTTATAAAAATATCGCTAGGGGAGAATGCATCGACATTCTTCGTGCATGCTGTGCCTCTTTGGAAAGTCGGCATCTACCACTGATTTCGACCTGCATAGCAGCATAATGGTTTATTGTTTGGAAAACGATATTTATCGGTTGGAAAACGAGTTCATGCGTTGGCCAGTTCATTTTCCTAAATCCGTACCTACTGTATAATGTATATGCTCCAATGTGATGTGGCAACTCGCATGAGTCCTTCACAGTACTGTGCAATGTATGATTGCCTGCGGCTGCGGCCACCGACACGGGGCGGCCGGTGCGGCAGGTGAGCGGCCCCACCGCGCTGGAGGCCTTGGAGACGCTGCTGGCGACGTCAGCGCGCCGGCAGCCGGCGCTGCTGGAGCCGCTGTGTCCGGCGCTGCCGTCAGCCGCCGTCCGGCTGCTGCGCACCTGCTGCGCGCGCCGCGACCAGCTGCTGCTGACCGTCTACCGGCGCGCCACGGGCCGCGCGCAGCTGGGCGTCGGGCCGGCGCGCCGCCAGTTCGCCGCCGTGCTGGCCGACGCGCCGCTGCTGGCCGCTGCCTCGCTGGCCGCCGCCACCTTCCTGGTGCGCCGCGCCAGCAGCGAGCCGGTGCTGGTGCTGCTGGCCGAGCTGACGCTGATCCCGGCCGAGGACCTGCGCCAGCTGACGGAGGTGGTGCTGGCCGACCTGCTGCCCGCCAGCGCCCTCCGCCAGCGCTAACACTGCCTCCAGAACGGCAGCCTAGCTGACCGACCTGCCGCCCGCCAGCGCCCTGCGCCGCTGACAGCACGGTGCGATAGCTCGTGAGCGCGGCAGCCGGCCGACCTGCTGCCGACCAGTGCTCTGCGCCGCTGGTAGTATGGCAGCACGACAGCCGGCCGGGCGGACGGGCGGCTGGCGAGCGGATATTAACAACGTGAGAACTACTGAGTGCGAACCTGAATGCGGTAGCGAGTTGGTGGTCTCAGGTCTGCCGAAGCGAGATCAGCGAAGGGCTGATCTCGCTACATTGTGTTCTGAACTGAATGGCGGTGATTGCCTGTTCTGTTTTCGATGCAAGATAACCATTTATTTACGTGCTGATGATGATACCGGCTATGGCTGATTCTCTTTAGGCGTTTGTATAGGCCTTAAATCGTGAGTTATCCGATAACATCTGAACACTTGTCGGCTGTAGTTGAAAAATATGCTTCCAATGTGACTCCGTCTGTGATATAACGTCAACCCGTGTCCCTGTGATGTGCCCGTCCCCTTGTCTCCGTGACTTGTTCGTATTTCCGTGATACGTCCGTGTCTCTGTGAGTTGCCCGTATCTCCGTGGTTTGCCCGTGTCTCCGTGATTTGCCGATGTCTCCGTGATTTGCCCGTGTCGCCGTGATTTTCATGTGTCCCCGTGATGATGCCTGTGTCTCCGTGATTTTCCGGTGTTTATGACTTGTCGACGTCTCCTGACGTCGCTATGCGTGATAATGGAGAACGGTCCCACTGATCTCGGAAAAAAGACTCCCGGTTGTGATATCGGGTTGTGCAGTGTTAGACCCCCGTTTCCCGACGTCGCTCAGTTGTTGAGACTCACAGTTGTAAACGATTACCTCCGTGACGACATCTTGTCGGCCCAGATTATTCGCATGTATTACTTATTTTGTGTGCCAAGTGATGAAACTTTATTATGCCCAGCAAGCCGCCGCAGGTTGCACAATGCACACACTCGTTTCGATTTGGCTATGGTGATGTGCTTTGATTTTGTTGTTTACATTATTGCCGCTATCATAGGTAACAGTTGTTTTGTTGTAATGTTGATTCGTTGTGATCTGCGCTGTGTTCTGATTTAGAACAATGATGAATGTTTACACACTATTAAGCGTTCACATATTATTTAAAAAGTCCTTATTTATCAATAAATGTTATTTCCGGCTATTTATGCCTGTCGTGTGTTTTACAGTCGAGCTCTGTTCGAATCGCAAACGATTTCAGTCCGTTCTGTTAAACGTTTTTATAAGCCCGGGCTCGGGCTCTGGCATCCATCGCTGGGTAAATGCGTCGTATCCACAAATGTCAGTAGCAGTTTTGTAGCGTGAGCTGGTGTTCAACAGCTATTTATAGGGATCGATGACCTTTTCTACTTTACATCGAATGTCAGGTACCCGTTGAGTTCAGTCGGATATCCAGGTAGTGTTTGAGCTTTATATATTGAATAGGTACTGTAGTTTTGCTGGTGCAGTTAAAACTGAAATAAGCGACAACGTCGAAATTTATGGACAAAAGAGACGAATCATTAATCAATTTAAGATGCTTTCCTAATCTAACTGTGGATAGTGCCGTGCTTGGTGAACCGTTTTTCAAAATCCACAAATTCGCTTAAGTCACAAAATCTGAGGACACCTTGTGCAATGTGCAGTCTACTTACCTGCCAAGTCGGTCTTTTCGGTCGCTTGGCATCCAGAGAATAGGAAACTGAAAGGTTCGCGGTTTTCTCGATGGCAAATGGCTGTTGGACGGTAGAGGAAAGGCTGCTGCTTGTCATCTCAGACGATAAATAAAAAGTTTGATCTCCCCGACTCGCATTTTGTATTGAACGCACACTCCATAAATGCACTCGGTATAAATGCGCCGCCCTGGTGCTCCACATTTCAGCCCATACTCTTCACCGAATTCCACTCTGAATACATAATGTAAGCAAGAAAATATTTAACACGATCTAGCCCATACCGTAGAGGATCGGCCCACCGCTCGAAGCGATCGTCGTCTTAGATCAGCGTTCGAGTACCGCCGGCCAACCCAGGGCCAGGTCACAGGGTTACTCAGTCCGCTGTTTTATGATGTACGACACGTGAGGGCACCTGATCAGACCCGACTGAGCTGAACCTGACCTAAACACCCAGTGGCAGTGTATTCTGAGGATACCGGACCGCTGGCTGACCCAAGTTAAATCATGGGGTCACTCAGGCCACTGACTGACCCAGGTCAGGTCACGGAGCCCCTCGGTCAGCTGGCTGACCCAGATCAGGTCAGGTCACTAGCACCGGAGGGTTATTGTGACCCAGGTCAGGTCACGGGTCACTCAGCCCACTGTCTGACCCAGGTCAGGTCACGGGTCACTCGGTCCGCTAGCTGACCCAGGTCAGGTCAGTCGGCCTGCTGGCTGACCCAGGCCAGGTCAGTCGGCCCGCTGGCTGACCCAGGTCAGATCACTCGGCCCGCTGGCTGACCCAGGCCAGGTCACTCGCTGCGCTTCTCCAGCGTGTCGAGCACCTGTCGACTCTGCGCGGTGGCCCGGTCGGCCAGCTGACGCGTCTCCTGCAGCGTCTGCTCCCGGAACGCAGCGTCCTCGATCTCCTTCAGGTTGATGGAGACGTTGTGGAAGGCGCCCCAGGAGGCGGTCTCCAGACACCGCGCCGCTACCTGTCAACCCCAGAGCCGGCCCCGGTCACGGTCACGGTCACAAAGGGCTCCGGAATTAGGTATCACACGTAACAGATGAGATGAGTTACCGAACCTCTTTCGAATGTCCGTTTATACCAGGTGGCGGCAGGTTCTCGCTAAGACTCTCCTTCGGGGTGAACAGCCATTAATGATACGGCAATTCGGCAGTTACCGTCTCATGGCCGGTATATTTTCCCTTTAATCATGATCTCTGACGACTTCAGCACACAAATAAAATTTCTCTGGAGGTATCCCCATATTTGGTAATTGGTATCCATGTTTGCTGTACCCATGGCTGACCTGCAGGTCGGACCTAGTGGCGATGTGACCGACCTGCAGGTCCGATTTGGTAGCGATGTGACTGACCCGTAGGTCGGATTTGGTGGCGATGTGACTGACCTGCAGGTCCGGGACTCCGGCAAGGTAACTAACCTGCAGGTCCGATTTGGTGGCGATGTTGCCGAGCGGCGCCAGCTCGGAGAGCGGCTCCCAGAGCCGGTCCACGCGCCGCTGCAGGCCCAGTGGCACGGCAACTGCTGAGCGGAGACCCGCCTGCAGCGCCGCCTGGCGAGCGGCAGCCTCCGCCTCGGTGGAGCGCGGCAGCTTCAGCGCCGCCTGTCGGTACCGGGCCATGGTCAGACAGTACCCTGACCCATTGTGATGGTCACAGAGCACCGGACGCGATCGAACTGGGCCTGTACCCACCCAATCACAGTTAAACCAGCCATTGACCCAGCAGGTCCAAGTCAAAGAAGACCTAGGCCTACTTGGTCACGATTCGTCTGGTTTCAACCCATTGACCACAAAACTTCCGGGTCCTGACCTGCTGTTCTCTGGTCGAACCAGATCTACGTTTATTTTATATCCAATCGGTCTCATGAACCGAATCGCATTGAAACAGCCATAACGAGGCTGGGTCAATCGGGCCGTGACTGGACCAACCGGGCGTCAAACCACCCACCCACCCACCCACCCCTGTGACAGCGTTACGTTGTGCACCGTTCGCGTACTGTCATCGTCTCAGTCTTCTCACCATGTAGTCGCCGAAAGCGTCCGTGTCGTCGTCCACGGCCCTCACCAGCTGGTCGACCTCGTGATGGAACACGGGGATGAGCCGGCGCATGTCGGCATCCAGGTGCTCCCACTGGCGCTTTCCGTACGTCATCTTACCGACCATGCTGGCCAGACCCGCCCCCTGGCGGATAACGACAGCGGGTGAGGGAGAGAGTTCACAATTCGGATACGGTCAATGACTTAGTGTGATGGATCAATATACATTACTGGGAGGACTGTGAAGTGTCAAGGTTGTGGATTTAAAGCTCGGGTTTCATTGCTAAAATCCAGAAAGTGTTTGTCGTTGGCGATACAGTTTATAATAAAGGAGCAGCCACGGTCGAACGGACAGGGTGGTCTGAGGTCGGTATAAATCTGAATTGTAATTCCGGATGAAGAGACTGCTGAATGTATTAATGTATGTTTGTGATGCATGTCTAGCTGTCACGCGCAGTCCTGGACGGCTGAGGCCGGCCTTTGCATGACTGTAATCAGGGCACTGCTGTAATGTAGAAGTATGCATACATGTAGGTCAGTTTGTGGTAAACATGTGTCTGTGACGTGCGATTCCAGGCACCCGGCGAGACCAGTGTCTGTATATCTGGCCGTGACGTGCAGGCTCGGGTGGGGTGAGATCAGTGTATGTCTGGCTGTGACGTGCAGTCAATGTCTTGTCATGACCGCCGCACCGTCCGCGTCATCCCCCTCCCTGCACGGATGGGGGTGTCGGGGGTGGACATTGAGATGAGATCACCCGGCTCAGGCGCTCTGCGACGGCTGCTCTGACCAGACGTGATGGGCGCAGTTGTCGCTATTGAATCTGTCCGGCAGCCCGGGCAGCCCACACCCGTCCACTTATTAAGGTGACGACTGACGACACCTCCCAAATGCTGATTGACGCAACGTCACATTTGGGTATTTTATTCACCATTCTCGCTTTCCCATGCAACTCATACTATCGTTGTTAAAGCAAAGGAGCTCTGATAACTGTAGAAATATCTGTCATCTGAAGATTGGCTCAAGATAGTGCACTAAATAATTCCACATCTATGATCCACTGAGGTGACTCACCAGAGCTGCGCAGAGGGCGGCGACCGAGCCGCCCCCTGGAGCGGCGCTGCGTGCTGCCACCTCTCGGACAAACTGGGAAACTGGCAGGGCGGCCAGCCGGCCGCCGCTCGCCGGCGGAAGGCAGTACTCGATGATCCGTTTACTGCCGGGAGGGACTGAGATCAGTGTCGGGCGAGCCTGCTGAGGGGCGAGGGAGGGGAGGGGGTGCTCCGGGCGGACTGACCTCTATCCGACAACGATATTGACCACCGGCATCGACACTGAGACTGGCGCTAACAAAACACACACGACCATGAACAATAACATCAAACTCAAACTGCCATCGTAATCCGGAGAACGGCTACCCCACTTTGGTATCGTCACGACCAGGGACAAAGCCTCGTCGGTGGAAGATTTTTGGCTGAGAGCTGCGGCGTAAATGTATGTAGAGAGCTAAGCGTTGGCGCAGAAGAAACTGGCGCTCTTTGACAGGCCATCACACAACTTTGCCCGACCAGAGCCAGAAACATTCGAACAAATGTGGCGTCAGAACGGCTTCGGTCATCGGTCATTTGGGTCGAGTCTCCGATATTCGGGATGGTGGCGCTGTGGGTCACTGAAGATCGCGCCAAGTTAAACGTACAGCATCAGAGAGCGGGGATGGCTCTGGATATCACACGATATATGTGCGCTCTTACATAGGGCAGGTCGCGTAGGTGCCAGAGGTACTGAGCTGCTTGCTATCCAGGGTCCAAGGTCATCTTAGCTTCAGCTGTACTCTTCATCTATGTTCCAAATCTTCCCGACTTTTTGCTTTTCGTATCAGTTTAGGTACGTATTTTCACTTAGAGCCTTCCGATTTTTACCCGAATGTTTATCTGCCACGGCTTTTGGTCAACTGATTCTACGCCAGTGAACTGTTCACAATCATGCTGCTTTTTATCGGCCTCACAGAAAGACATATTTTACAAATATCATTTGATCTAAAGAAGGTCGACCACTAGACATAAGTTGTCGATTCGAGGCGAACTTTGAACAATTGTAAATTTATGGATTCGTTTCATTTGAATGGTTTGTCCGATATGCCAGAATCATTACGTGCGTGTTTCATAGGTATTGCCGTTTCGTAATCGTGAGTATGGAACGCTCCAAAGCAGCTCAATCAGTCTTCACATGAGCCGGTCTAACGTAAACTTTGTTCTTGATATTGCCTTGGGCCGGAATAACATAGCCGGCATTTAAGTAAAGTAAAACGAAGATCTGGCTAATTGCCAGCTTGTAACTTTCCCAATACCCCGGAAGTAAAATTAAAAAAAGCGCTGCAGTTATGATGATTGCTTTGTTTAATAATTCTGCCATCATCAGTCACGTTGCGCAGTGCCTAGTCTGATTAACTGGCCTTGTAAGTGACACAGTTTATACTCGATTTTTTCACGTCATTCGTGGACACATGCAATGTGCAGAGGGAGATGGACATTGCAAAAAGCAGCGGTGTTGTTTTTAGCCGTGCTCCAAAACACGCGAACAGGGGAGACGTTCATGCACGACCCCTCTGCGAGCAGGGCGCGGATAAAACTCAGTGACATCGGGAACTATTTTGTTTTTTGACTTGCACCAGATGCCAGGGTGGAAGTTTATTTAGAGCTCCTCGTACAGTTGCTTCCTGCTAGCCCTTCCAGCCAAGCATGACCAGTCGGCGGTTTTTCCACCCTCACCCCGCTTGATTGGCCGCCGGCTGCCCTGGCTGCGCTAATGAACACTGCAGGATGGGATCGGGGGGGGGGGGTATCGGGTACTCACTCTGGGTCGAACGGAGAGACTGAGCTGAGACCGAGCCGCTCCACGGCCAGCCGGACCTTCTGCCGCTCCTCCAGGATAAACAGGTTCTCCTGTAGACGGGCGTATGAACACGAGGGTCAGCGTGGGCAGCTCTGCACGCGGCAGCGGGACAAATGTGAAAAATAAAACATATCACTGCGACAACGTGGTGTCACAGCTGATATACTTAACTCTGTATACCTGGATTTTGATGCCTTCGATTGTCCGGTTCCAAATTTATTGTTTGGGTAAAGACAAACCGATGCCCCTTACCCATCTCATGGTTTCATTGAAGAAGCGACTCCCATGATAACTCTCTCTGAGTCATCCACTGTTTCCGCAGCAAAGGTCGGTCTAGCTACTCTTCATACAAGTCACCGTTTTACATAATCTACGAGTTTGGCTAGAAACAGACTGATAATACTCATACACCCACTCGAGCTATCAGGGTGCGACTGCGGTGGTCCTTCAACCTCACTTATTTTTTTCTCACTTTGTTGTGTCACTGACTCACCCGCTGTATGTAGAAGTCGGCAGCCTGTAGGAGAGCGTCCAGGGGGAGTAGGCCGACCACCTCCGAGCCGGCCACGGCCAGCTTCAGCGCCGCCGCGTCCGTCTTACACTGCAAAAGACACAGACAGCGTAAAATCAACCAGTTTCAGCGCCGCCGCGTCCGTCTTACACTGCAAAGGACACAGATCCGTGACACACGCACAAATACCTACAGACAATGTTAAGCCGGCGTCTTTCAGCGCGACGTCGCTCATTTTACACTGAGAAGACACATACGTAATCATTCATAATAATTTGTGCAATGTGCATGTGCCGTAATCAGTGCACTGATCAGACTCACTGAGCATTGAGCAATGACTCACAATTTGTATCTGTTACATCTGTCTGTCGGTAGACTGGCCCGATACCGACGGCCGACGGGTACACGCACCTCCTCGAAGGCGACGTGCAGCGGTGTGACCTGATAGTCGGTCAGGTTGATGGAGACCTGGGCAATGTCGGCCTCATCTAGATACCAGCCGATGGCCTGGCAGCAGCGCAGACGGCCGGGCGAGCTCGGCCCGCGACCTCCCTCACGGATGTTCAGCGCGATCCTGGCCAGAACGACTTACATATAACACACATACTATACAGTATACATTCCTACAATACATGCAATCACATCGCGCTGGTCGTTTCCGATTGGAACGCGACATGCTGGCTGCCAAAGCGATCGAGCGCCGCTTTAGCTTCGTTTCTATTAACTGGGCAGTAATGCGACTTGTGATTTATTCCATTTGGTATGCAGATGAAATGCAGTCTCACCCTGTTATCCACAGAGCAGCAACAGCGTCCAATGTCACTCACTGTGCGATAATTAGATCAGAGAAATCATCAGACAGCGATGGGAAATGCAGTGCAATAACGGTCATGCCGTCATATGTGTGACCCTTGCGATCGGTAAGCAAAAGGGTGATCTGAACGTTCCCTTTAGACTGGTGATTGTTGAAGATAGACACATTCGTCCATCGAGCTCCGCTAACCTGTGCGCCTGCTCCTTGGTGCCGAGGATGTTGACATTGTACGCGATGAGGAACTTTCGGACGCCGGTGACGGTGGCGCCCCATTTCGGTACGAACTGGGCGGGCCCGAAGTCGGGCGCCCACCGCTCGTCCTGCAGTCGGTCAGAGAGAGCCTCGTACTCCCCGGCGCGGATCTGCGGCATGGTGCGCCGGTACTCGCCGCGGCTGCAGGCCGCTCCGTACAGGAACACCGGCACGCCCAGCTCTGCGGCCAGCCGCTCACCGAATCTGCAGACACACGCGCGCCTCATGGTTTTACGATGGTCATATACACGCAGTTTTATTGTCTTCATATCCTCCATCTGAATGTTAACCATGGCTCGTCAGTCGATCCTTATTACTTCTCCGCATGCTTCTCATCGTAACTTTCGGTCAGTTTGTAGGGGAGTATCGTAAACTTTCCAGAATTATGCACTATGCAGCATATATGGATAATGCGTGTATAGTTTGCTGACCGTTTGGAACACTGGATGCACTCGTCCTCAGTCACTCCTCTGACCGGGATGAAAGGGCACACGTCCAGGGCTCCCATCCGCGGGTGTTTACCTGGAAACAAGGCAGCAGACTTCGTCAGAGGAGCCGATACACTCCACTAGGCTAGGGGTGGTATCTTTGTATGGTGATGTTTTAAAAGGATTCGAGAAAACGGAGAGTTGGATTCTGGCGTTAAAATCACTATAGCAGCATCTGCTGCTTCAAGAACATACATTACGAAACAAGTGGTGTGTTCATATCACATTAATTGATTGTTCTCCTAACACGATCATTAGGTACTGGTCGAAGCATTCACACTATGTATTTGATGTTTGGACTGGTCATAGGGCTCCCCTGCGAGCCGCAGTGTCTTTCCGAGCCCCCCTCCCCCGATCCGGGCGGCCGCAGAGCCGCCGGCGCCGATGACGGCCGCTGACGGGCCGATGTGTGTGTGTCGCTCTGTCGGTGGCTGGCTGGTGCTGTGATCGATGCGCACCGTCCGTGATTGAGTGACTCTCAGCGCTGCTCTCTGCCGGCGAGTCCGACAAAACAGCGCGCATTACCGACCACTCCTGGAGGCGACCCGCCCTCCGCAGACGGATGGTCGGCTGTGCCCAACGGCATACATCACCCACCGCCCATGGAATTCATGACCGCTCAGAATTTATCGTTACTTGTTTGAAGCAAATGCATGCATGAATATTGCATATGTCATGATGCCTAATACATTCCTTCAGCCAGCTGGAGTTTCGTGTTCTTTAGCTGACGAGTTACATCACATGCTCCCCACAGAGTTCCATTTGCTTGGAGCAGATGCGCTGACCTTGCAGTGGTCTCTGCAGAAACGGGCGTGTCGGACAAAAGGATCTGGCGATTGTTCTGACGCATATAAGTAATGGGGAAGTCGCGAGCGATTTGAACAGCGATTTCAGCAGTGACGTGTATAAAGGAGGCGGCTTGGAAGTTTGGAACATGGGAAATATAATCAAATTGGGGATGGAATTGAAGGGAGATCGCATTACTTCTGGAGATCAGCGAGTGGTTGTTGGCACCGTCCTGGATCGACGCTCCCGCCTGTTGACTTTATCCAGGACGGTTCCAGGGGGCAGCTGGTGCATATGCCCCCCGCAGTGACCGAAATTCATTAAAATTTGCCGTTTCCCTCGCAACAAAAGTAAACGACTTTTCATAGCAAATGTCTGTTTTGCTACAAACATTGATATTTTCGTCGTGTCTATGGAAAACTCTTTCAATCATTGTGATCATGTCAAGCTGAGAGTGAAATAATACGCAAGGCTTTCATTCCTTTTTATCCGTTGACATTGAACGTCGTAAAAAGGTCATATAGAAAAAATCATTTTCAGTTTACCACGTAAAAAGGTAAACAGAAAATTGATAAACCACAGACAGACCGACAGACCGACAAGTTAACGATAAACAGACAGATAAGACAGACGGACGGACAGACAAACAGGCAATAGAATAGGCAGACAAACAGACAGACCGACAGATAGACCGACAGATGGACCGACAGACAGACAGACAGACAGACAGACAAACCGACAGATGAACCGACAAACAGATAGACAGGCAGATGGACAGACGGACAGACGGACAGACGGACAGACAGACAGTTGGTCAGCCAATCCGGCAGACCTTCATACCGACAGACAGACCGGCAGACCAACAGACCAACAAACAAACATACAGACCGCCTTACAGACAGATCGACAGTTCGCCGAATCGGCAGACCGACAGACCAATAGACAGACAGGCAGACCGATAAACAAACATACAGACGGACAGACCAACATACCGACAGACCGACAGGATAATAAACAAACAGACCAACAGACCAACAGACATTCAGACCGACAGACCGACAGACCAACAGGGTCAGTGTCGGAGCGCGGCCGCGGCCGCGGCCACGTCACCGCCGCCTCCGCCGCCAGCCGCCGTCGCGACCCACTATTGATTGTCCGAATCAGCTTCCCAGAAGCGGGTCCTTGCTCTGGTCTCGGTGGGTCGGGGGAGCAGGGAGGGGTGTGGTCACAGGGGACAGTCAGCCTGGCGGCCCGGGACCAGGCAGCGACACACATCGGCAGGCGACCAACACCGCAGGCCGGGGATACCTAAACACAGACACAGACAAATGCATTACCCGTATGTTCTTTCTTATACGTTTATCGTCGAAAAAGCAAGCATGTTTTACCTTCGCTAATCGCTTGTGCGCTGTGAACTGTGCAGTGTGCACTGTGCAGCCTTCGCTTGAACAACTATCGTGGGCACTGGGCACATCTTCAAGAACAGCATTCATGACACTGGCTCTCAAAAGTCTGAATACCCTGGCCGGAGTCCGAGTTAAAGGATTTAATCCATGCGGTTAGTGTCGCATCAACAGTGCATTTAATTCACGACCGTTTAAGTGTAACGGGGCAGCCTGAAGTGTAGATAAGAAGAAAGTAAGGAGTAGGCTGGCTTACTCTGTAATGCATTCGGATCACATTTCAGACATATTGCTTATGATGACTGTATTAATCTCGGCGATGCCAGCATTTGAGCCGGCCAGTACTCGTATGTTACTGACCAACAAGCACCCAAATCTATAAAGGACCTTTTAGTATTTAGTGGATGAGATGACGGTCTCATGACTAGGCGGTAGTTGGTTCAATCAGCGGGGGAGGCTTCAGGATGGCCGCTCCACTTAGGTACAAGTACAACCATCAATCATGAATTTTTATCTTCCTATTTAAAGCTATGATAGTTATGCAGGAGCTGGATAATGCATCGATTGGGGAAATTGCAGTTTTACGTAACACACGGCTTGAAATCCGAGCGCGAGGCTGCAGGTTGTGCACCACAAGGCAGCCACCAGTAGGTCGACATCATCTTGGTAATATCCTACTCTTTACCCGTGAGCTCCAGTATTATCGTCTCTGGATGGATACCCACACGACGCACGTTCAATTCACAATAATATCCGACAGTCCAGTACCTTGAGGTCATCACCACCAGATTTGGTGCCATCAAATTAATCCTGCATTGTCCCGCAACATCAGGTGATCTGGATCTGGTGCCTTCTGGCCATTTTCATCAGACGCGAGTCGGTACCGTCGTGTCCGGCGCCAGGTCTGGTATGTCCCCCTATGGCTGACCTTTGTGCCGTGTCATGTCGATGAGCCGGGCGGCGGCGCGCGCCCCGTTCAGCGCCCCCTCCACCACCGACTGCGGGTCGCCCACGAACGTGACCACGGTGCGGTTGGTGGAGCGGCCTGGATCCACGTCCAGCAGAGTGACGCCGGCGGTGCCCGAGATGGCTGACGAGATGGCGTCGATGACCTGCGGGACGGCGCGTGTCAGACCGCAGCCTTCAGCAGTCGACCATGAAACTATAGCTCATTTATTTACCTCTCTATAGACGGACATGCAGTTTGCTGATCGAATCGGTAAAATAGTCGAGGAAATGGGTCATTGTCTAAGCAGATAAGCACTCATCATCTGAAACTGTTTGCAAGAAATAATCAGTCGAAAAGGTTGTCGGAAAAGTAGCACTATAGCAACAAATAAGCGATTTGGCTTATCTCTTTGCCATAATAATAGCGAAGTTTTTGTACGGATTCAGTGGGGAACAAAATAATATTTCATCCATGGAAAGATCTCGCGCGGGTTCGAGCACTGGTACGCGTGTGTAACTGACTCACCTTCTGGTCCCGCCCCTCGGAGAAGTTCGGAACGCATTCCACGATCTTGCTCATGGCGGCTGCGTGTCGCACACCGTCTAACCTGCACGGGACCGGTGAACTGCGTCCGCTCTCTGCCCGTCCGCCACCGAGCCAGGCGCATAATCAGCCAGCGAGCCCCTCTCCGGACCAGGACCAATCGCGTCGCCAGCTCGCTCAGACGCGCACATGATTCAAGCCACATTACCATTACTTGACAGGCTCTCGCGTAAATCATCTTATTACCTTGAAGCATGTAAAATTTATAATGGTTATTTGTTGTACACAGAAGGCTAGTTAGCGAAAATACCGCTTGCCCAGGTAGATAAAAGGCCCTAGTTCGCCCCTCGTTTGGGCAGTGGCGTGGAGCCGCCACTGTCCGTATTTGGACGAGCGCCGGCCATCTGGAGGAGGTGTGGGCGCGGTGCCTTCAGCTAGCTGCCCGGTGATTGGTTCCGTGGCGACCAGACCCCGCTCCGCCGCGGACACCTCCCCCCCTCTCAGCGCGACTCACTGAAAAAAATTTTTACTCACTTTTCTGAGTAATGACTGAGTTGCCATTTTGTCCAATGGTAAAACTCACTCTAAATCCGCGTACTCAGGTAAAACTCAGGGCGGAACGCAGGTAAAACTCGGGCAAAACTCATTGCAAGTGAGTAGCATGTGAGTAACAAAGTGAGTTGCCATTTTGTCCGATGGTAAAACTCAGATAAAATTCAGTAAGTACTCATGCGTAACTCATGTCCTACTCAGACAACTCAGGCCAAACTCAGGTATTAGTAAGTCATTACTCATGAAAAACTAGGAAGTAACTCACATGTAACTCAGCTGGTACTAATGTATAACTCAGGTGGTAGTACGGCCATAACTCAGTTGGAACTCATCGGTTATTCAGTGAAAACTAGGGCTGTACTCAGGACGTACTCACGTCGATAACTCATACGATACTCGGGTGTTACTCAGGCGCCGCCTGAAACGGCTGATCTGATTCGTTTTATATTGGCTCAAGCCAATGTATAGGCTCGCCGCCCATGATAACAGCTGCCACATCAGCATTATGCAATATGCATGCATGATGCTCATACAACAGCCACTACCAGGCAGCTAGTCTATATATTGGGATTGGCCAATATATAACGAATCATTGCCCAAAACCAGCATACATATCTGTATTATACCATGCCCGACCAACGTCTAGTCTTGCACTATTCGCCCCAGCCCTTACAAGAAATACATGTTTGTAGAAACGGTCGCATTGCGCTGTATTTCAATTCTGACACACGCCAAACTGCGTCGGGGGGGGGGGGGGGGATCGACTCCACGTCAGCTCAGCTTCACTCTTTTGCCAGCTTCTCGACCTCAGTCTTCGCGGCTACAGGTGGCTGGCGCTCAGCATTGAATGGTGTGTGGAGCACATGGATACACACAAACCACAGCGTGTTTCGCACTTTGTGCGCCGTTTGTTGACTGAGCACAAAGTGCGCCGTCGCCCACAGCAAAAGACTCCCTTCCAAACCATGGATCCCCACAAGACTTCCGTTCGCTCCACGATGAGGCGGCACCGTTCGTTTTCTTCGGACTTGTTATGATAGGGGTGATCCAAATTTTCGTCACCCGTGTACGCCACCACTGACGCCTTCTCCGCCAAGATGCAGAGGAGGCTCAATGGGCCGTTCCCTGAAAACACAATAAAAAAAGTCAGATTTTCTTTTGCCAGTAAGAGAAACGGAAGTTATAGGGCATGCAAGGTGATTGAAATATCAAAAGTTATCAAGTTACTTCAGCTCAAAATTAATGTTAAACCGCGCCGTGCTGGTGCTCTGAGTTTACCGTGATGTACTGGGGGGAGGGGGTCGTCTTCACGTCCCCTCTTCTAACTCGGCTGTTGGGGTTGGGCCACGTAGCAACACGCCGTAAGCGGCTTTCGAAAAAGCATTAAAGATATTTAAGGAAATACTTGGGTAATTTTAAGGTCAAGTCAAGTGCCAGGTCACCAGAGGTCAGGAAAGGCCAAATTTTGCTTATTTCAATATTTTCGAAAAACTGGTGCTTAACTCGGAACCAAAAGAGCTGCCCGCGGAAAAATGCAGTCAAAGCCCTTTCGACTTTTTTTTTGCTGGCGTTTGATCTCAGATTTGACCTCAGGGTCAACAATTAAGCCTCCAGAGAGCAAAAACTCTAAAAAAGCCGTTTTTACCAAAATGTTTTCTGTAATACTTTCCACTCAAGAGTCACGACATTTATTTTGCCGTTAGCATAGTGTTCCTCTCGTCGGGACGAATGAACTATAATTAGACCTTGAAAGGCCATATTTAAAACTTGACCTTAGGTTGACCTGACCAGGTCATGTTGCATATCAGTCGATCCAAACCGTCAAGCTGAACACATATGAGGTGTTTTATTGCACTAGCAAATATATTTTATATGTACATGCCGTAAGGTTGATACTTGAGACATGGTGATGGGACAGTATCAAAAACGCTATACAATGAAATCCGTTCGATATTTTTTTGACATTTTACCTCAAACTGGTGTGAAATCGAGCGGTGAATTCCCTGAGCGAAAATGACAAAAATATCGAACGGTTTCCATGGCACGTTGCGAACGGTGCGATCGTCAGCGACCATTGAAATTTTTCCGATGTTAAGTCATTTGACGTGACCTGACCTTGAACGACCTGGGTCTAAAATTTCTTCACATGGAGAAACAAATGTATGAGCAGGTGTGCCGAAAATGGTGGCGCTGCGCGCCGCCGTTCTTAGATATTCGCGAAAAACCTGAGGGGGCGGGGTGGGGGGCGTAAAACGCCACCCAGCACAGCGCGGGTCAAGGTCGGATGGTCACCTTAACAGTCGGGTTTTAGTCTCGCAAAACACTTCCATGGGCGTCCAATATTAAAATCAGCTTGAAACAATCACATAAAATGTGTTATACTTAACAGTAATGGAAATAAGCATGTCACGTCCAAACGCGTCTCGCCGCGGTATCTAATAATCTAATATGTAAGGAAGGTTGAAAATGCTCGCTGAAATCGAATAGTGTACGAAAATATGTGTGTAGGCATTAAAAAAAAAACAGTCGGAAAAAATAATAACAGTGGAAAAATAATAAGCACAAACGAGACAAAAGAATCTTAAATGGTTCAGCGAGCGGAATTAAGACCATGGGCTCCACCACCGGGGGGGGGGGGGGAAGGGTACGGGGGACGTGTCCCCCAATATTTTACATTTTTAACATTGTGCCTATGGGTGCTGCATGGAAAGAATCGACTTCAAACCACCTTCGCCCCCCCCCCAAAAAAAAAACATCGGGTCGTGACGGAGTTCTTGTTTAAAGAAGTAAAAAGGGTCAAATGAACGTTCTTTTAGGATAAGGACAACATTATCCCACAAACATGTTTTTTTAACCCTCGCATGTGTAGGGGGGGGGTCGGATTGACCCCCTTTCCCCATGGTTTTTCGCGAATAACTCGCGTAAAAAGCGGCTGATCGCGACGAAACTTTCAATACCATCGCATTGATCAATTTTACACCTACCCTGAAACTTTCATGACCCTGACCCAAATGACCTTTGACCTGTGACCTCTTTTCCGAGACCATGTTTGGCCGGAATCGCGATTCGGCGTACGTCGGCTCGCATTAGCCGCGCGTTTGCAAGCTTTTCGTGGTTTCAAACGTTCAAACATGTGATTTGATGTTGCTCCCATGCATTAGGGTGGGTGTCAAGGTCACCTGAAGGTCAGGTCAGGTCACTGACCTTTGGTGACCTCGGGTGACCTCGGTTCACTTTTTCGAGTTTTACATGTTTCTAGGCTAGTTTTTGGAGCTGAATTCGAATTTAACAACCATTTGAACATTTACGAAGTAGTTTTGGTGCCTTCGTAACATGTTACGAAGCTGTCAGAGGCGGTTGACACGTACTACGAATACCCGTCACGACGCCTACTGATTGACCTGACCTGACCTGACCCGACCTGGTCTAAATGCTTCAAGACATCATCTGTGATCAAAACTAACACGATATTCGTGATCAGTACCCCGAAAAACCCCTTAGCAGCCACACTTTACGACTTTCTAATAGGTCCCGATTTTCCCGACTTTGGGTCATTGACCTGACCTGGAAGGTCAACCAATGACCTAGGACCTTAAAATTGGGTATCATCGGCTTCCTCTCGTCACGGGCAACACGCTCGTTTTTTCCGCGAAGCTCTAGCTCGATCAGGGGCTAAACGGCAAGGGGGGGGGGTCCAACCGACCCCCCCCCCCCTACACATTAGAAGCTGGAAAACGCCGCACACATGCAAGGGTTAAATTTAAATATAACATAACTCACCTCTTCTTTTTCGAACTATGCCGGGTAGGTATCCCTCAGTTTCTCGATCGATCTGCTCCGCCGTTCACGGTTGGCACCGACCTCCTGACGCCGGCGGGGAATGTCTGCTGGTCCATCAGTTCACCTCCCTGTTCTCCGCGGCGCATGCGATTGATAAAAGCTTCATCGACAATCACCGAGCTCTTCACAGATAACTTACCCGTCCCATCCTTCGCTGCACGCCTTCCCCGCTCCTGCACTCTCCCGCACAATTTCACAATAGCCTCAACAATTCAACGTGAACTACGCGAGTCACCGCGCCACAACGGACTGAAGCGCGCGCCGCGGTTTTCGAACGCAACGGCTATAATACTCATCACGCGAACTCACGCATCACGCAGGACACTCACCCTGCCGCGCATGCGCGCATCTTCAAGCCGGGGGTACCTCACGCACAACTGCACGTGAATTCGCGAGAACTCATGCATTGCGCAGGAAACTAGATTTGCCCAAGCAAAACTCATTTCCGACTCAGTTCGAATTCACGAAACTAAGCACTCAGAAATCACGCATAACGAAGTCACCCTGGTGATGTGAGTTAGATCAGCCAATAAGTGAGCACCACTATCGTATTCACTGAGTTTCTTCATGAGTTATTACTGAGTAATGCCAGGCCTGAGTAAATTTTTTTTTCAGTGCTGTTTATCCACAGTTTCGGGTGTTTCTTGGAATCGAGACTTGAGCATGTGATTTACCGACTCCGCTCATAATGAACCACTTATGTATATGCTTGCAAGTTGCAACACCCGATTTTGATGTCTTAAGTCAACCGGAGACCATTGAGGTC